GATGCTAGGGCTGCCACAGGAATGGGTCAGTTTCATCAGGACAGCACCTCATTCCTACTTCATCACAGCCTAAGGTACTTGACGGTAATATGGTCATCTTAAGCTTTGCCGTTCTATAAAACCAAAACTAGGAGGAGAACATAGACAAAAACACAAAGTCGTGTACTATAACTAATATATTAATAAAGAATAGCAAACAAGCTTTGACCATTATTAGAAATACTTCGAAAATCAACTTAATAAAAACTAACTTCATTATGCCATACTAAAATCGACAAAAATATTTACATAGTATCTACTATTAAAATGGCGTCGACAAAGCTGCGTCCTTTTAACTCTTAATTATTTGATTGACTGATGAAGAGCTATCGTATCATATAGCCTTCTATACGAATAAGGCTGTAATTTCTGAGTTATAAGAAAGTGACCATATAAACCGGATGACCATATTATCCTCACGTACTTTATTTAATGACAGAGGATATTTGGAACAATTATCCCGCTTGTGAAGGGCAGTTCTTTATTATTTAGAGTTATTATTAGAAAGATGTTGCTGGTAATCTACTGTTCTGCTTCCGTCTGCTGCCTCTTACTATAGTACGGGATGATGTGAAGTAGTGGATTCCACCATGGCCACCAGTACGCAGCTAACCTAAGGACCAAGTTTACAGAGAACCGTGTAGAAGCATTATGTTATTGTGTATCGTATGGTGAGCGTAGAGAAACGGAGATCCTTTTTACTGGTAACAAGGCATTACATCTCAGTTTTAAGGCGTGGCACGGTTACTGCGTTACTGCATTACGATTCTCAGCTGAAAATAATGGTCAGTATATGTGAAGTTTAACGTAAAATTGTCTTTAATCGTATGTGCCTGTGGGTCGCGGCATTTACTTACCAACAGGTGAACGGCGTGCTCATTTATCACCATTTTAATCTATTAAAATCGTTTGTGTACGACTTTATTAAAAAGTTAAGCTACATTATTACACATTTATATAGGTCTCACTGCTAGGTACAGACCTCGTTTTTTTACAGAGGATTATGGAGCTGTTAGAAACGCGCTTATGCAGCTGTTAACTTTAATTTTGATGTAGGAGGATTGTCTGTTCTATCCAATATATTGAATCTGAGCCCACCAAGAGAAAAAAAGAAAGCTAAAAGCTAATCCTTCCATAACATATTCGCCATTAACTCTGTTTGGCGTAAATGCAACGGGCCGGCTTTGCCCATGTTCATCGGCCGTAGAGGATATGCTAGGTGGTTCCACTATAATATCTTAAATTATACCCATTACAATGAAAACGTAACTCTGGACACGGACCTCACTTTCTTCTTAAGAATATTATCCAGCAGTTAGTTTGCAGCACTGCTTCACTACGTTAATGAACTGAAAATGCTCCCATTTTTCCCCTAAAAATAAGTGTAGGCTGTGGCCCATAGACATTAATATATATCCTCAATAAATAATCAAACCACTCCTCGGGACTAAGATGGAATGCCTCGATTCCGGTACGTATGTACGTACTCCAGGTCTCCGGTTCTCTATACTCAACATACTAAAACACAGCATTATTAAGATGCTCTTTTATAATGGTGTTTTCTAAGCGCGTGATCGTTCCCCTGTCGTGCAGACCTATTCGCGCTACAACTATAATATACCTGCAGAATGGATATACCATCTGTAAATCGTTTTGATTTGGTTTTTAGTATTTAGCAAAATCCCAATTTAATTATCACATTAAAAAATGCAAACATAATGTAAGAAACATATTTATCGGTTTAATGTTTCTTTAAGACTTGCATCCTTGTGATCACTTAGGTTCTGGTAGTGGAAGCTGGGCCAGAAGAACCGAAGATGGTGCTCATTCCTGGTCTAACCAGTGAATTCAAGGGCTCCTCTATGGACTGGCAATATTCCATGCGACCAAAAAAGGGGTAAGAACCATTTATTTTACCATTTATTTTTTTATATTTCCAACTTAGTCGTTTATTAAATATAATAAATATTTAGCATAATTCGTCATTTTTAATTATTTTTATTTTATTCTTTTATTTCTTATATAATTATTATTTTCGTACTAATTAAACAAGCACATTATCCTATGTTTAAATGTATGGATCCTATGGTTGTATCACAGCCGCATACTGAGGCCGATTATCACCTACGGCTCCATTATCCAGTGTAATAAGGCCCACTCAAAAATAGTCTACAGAGGACTGCCTGCTCAATGGCAACTGGAGCGATGCGAGCATCGCCTGGAGTGTCTCTTAATGCACTTTCATGTCTAACGTCACTTTCATGTCACCTTGATCGGTGATGACACCTGATAATCCTTGACACCTGATGATTAGTGGATGCTCTAACCCATACCACTCATTTACACTTATCCTCGATTAAGAATCAGAATCCAGGTGTCTTGACCCAGGAGGACTTGGATGGAATGCCTCATTTCCAGTAAAAAAGGATCTCCAGATCTCTACACTCGCCATACAAAACGCATCAGATTTAATAAGCTATTTTAAGCTGGTACTCTGTGAGAGCGTGGTCTTTCCCGGTCGAGCGTGGTGTTTCCCGTTCTCTATCATATATAAAATGTTAAAAGGATGCTCAAAGAACGGACTATATGATGCCTATTGGTATTTTACTTTTTATGTTTTATGCCAGTTCCGTGCCGGTTCTCTTCAGAGAAGGGCTTATTTATTGTTACGAACCGATGTAGACTATGACGTTCTTAAGAGCCTTAAATAAGCCAGAATTGAATAAAAAGTTTTATTTTGAATTTATGTCTAGTATACTTTATTGTACTGTATTAAATTTTATTTAGTTTGTCTTTAAAGCTCCATGTAGAGATGGCGTAAAAGATTCCGGTTTCTCATATCATCCCGTAGGTGTCGTAGGAGGTGACACAGGGAAACTGAAACAGGAAATGGGCAGCTGCATCTTCCTGATAACAACTCCAAGTAAAAAAATAAACTGAGGTTGGATAACCCACTAGCCAAGCGTGAATAGAGATAGAGTAATCTCGGTGAAACAATTTTGGATCTATCCCAACAGGATAATATATGTCATAAGGAATAAGGCAAAATAAGTCTTATATATTTATAATAATTCAAGACGTACAGAAAACAGTAACTCATAATCATCATTAATTCCTTCATAAGTCCACTATCAAACATAGGCTTCCCCCAAGACATGTCCATACTCCATAACACGGTCCTGAGCAAAATTAATGTAGAAGTATGTAGACATAACAATGAATAGATGATGGGCCTTAAAATACCATCCAATAGTTAATGAAAAGGAAAATGAAAAATGAAAATAATTTATTCAACAGTTTGCACCATAACAAAAAAAAAGAAACAGTTCTTACACTAGGCGCGCAGACCTGTATCGTGAGAGTCATATATACATCATATTAACGAAAATAAAATTAGTGCTCGGATGACTTGACAAAGTTGAATTTTCCCTTTCTTTATGTTGGTCTCATTAAGGTAGATTTTAATAAAAATAAACACACATTTTTTTCAGATTCTGTCAAAACCGTTTTCAATTGGGCTGTGAAGTTGTCCAAGGCAGAGTCCTCGGAGGCACGTCATCTATTAATGACATGGCATACATGAGGGGAAGCCCCGCCGATTACGACGAGTGGATGCTCAACGGAAATGATGGATGGAGTTTCAGTCAACTACTGCCTTACTTCAAGTACTCCGAAGGGAATTATGATAAAGATATCGCTAAGAATAAGTTCTTTCACTCCACGCAAGGACCTTTGGACGTTGGAAGATATCCGTACGTCGATGATAATGTTGACGTACTATTAAGCGCATTTAACGAACTGGGATATAATTATACTGATATTAACGGCCGGAACCAACTCGGTTTTATGAGGATACAGACAATGTCATATTTTGGAGAGAGAGTGAGCGCGTATACAGCGTTCATTGATCCCATACGAAAACTGAGATCTAATATTGTCATCGAAACAGAAGCTCTTGTAACTAAAATTTTGTTTGAAGACTTCCAAGGCTCTACCAGAGTAGTAGGTGTAGATTATATTAAAAATGGTACAAAAATAAGAATTAAGGCAAAAAAAGAAGTCATTTTGTGTGCAGGTGCGATAAACACGCCAAAATTATTAATGCAGTCCGGAGTGGGACCGAAGGACTATTTAGAGTTTTTGAACATTAAAGTGTATAATGATTTGCCGGTCGGAGGAAACTTCCATGATCACCTGTCTGTGTGTTTACCAGTCGTCAAACTCAGTAAAACGGCAACTACGGCTAAGTTTTCGGAGAAGCTCAAAGATATTTCTTCGTACTACGCGAAAGGCACGGGCCCACTGTCAGCTAATTTTCAAGTTGTTGCTTTTATGGAGACCACATTATCGGACGTACTCGGCACACCCGATATTGAAATGAGATTTCGTGGCCACGACTCTAACATGTATTACGATAAAATTGATATGTGTGTTTCTCTTCTAACACCGAAAAGCCGCGGCCAAGTTATTTTGAATGCAACTGACCCAATATTTGGGAAGCCATTAATTTATCCAAATTATCTTAAAGAAAAATCGGATGAGAAGAAACTGTTGGAGGGTGTACATGAAATAGTAAAACTTTTTGATACGGAAGTTTTTAGAACTGCGGCGGTTGAATTTGATCCTCGACCTATTCTGAACAACGAGTGTAAAAACTATGAAAAAGTCTCTGAAGATTTTTGGGCATGTATAATTAAACACTTTTCAAGTCCGTTGCATAATTATGTAGGCACTTGTAAAATGGGCTCCTCAAAAGACCCAGAGTCTGTAGTTGATCATAACTTAAGAGTATATGGCATTTCAAATCTTAGAGTTGTTGACGCTTCAATCATTCCTAAAATTACTCGAGGTTCTACTGCTGCTCCTGTTATAATGATAGCTGAAAAAGCAAGTGATTTAATAAAAACAACTTGGTATTAAATAGAACTTTTATTTACAGTTTTTACAAATTACTAACTACGTCACCTTCTATTGTATCGCCCATTGTTTTCTTTCCAATCTGTTTTAATAAGTTTAGCGCCTTTCTCTGCAATCATTACCGTCGCTGCATAGATACTACCACGAACATGCGTTGGCATCACAGAAGCATCGACGATTCTTAAACCTTCAATACCGTGAACTCTCAACTGGTAATCGACTACGGACGTTGTGCTGTTTTCCCCCATTCGACACGTGCCAATGGGGTTACTAATAGCTTTCGTGTAATGTCTAGCTATACAGTTCCATTGGTCTCGGTTTCGCAATTTATCGCATGGGAATAAATCTATTGGAGCAAACCTAATATCAGCTTTTTTCAGTTCCTTTGTATTTAGTAACTGCAATGCAATATCAATACTATCGACTAAACTATCCAAGTCTTCCGATTCCTTCAGGAAGTTGGCTTGAATAACAGGTCTGCCATATTTTGGATTTTTCCTATTTAACATAACCTTTCCTTTACTTTTAGGCCTAAGTAGCACAGGATATACCATAATGAGATTATAGTATGGCAACGGCAAATTAAATTCTTCGATAGCATTGACACTGACGTTTGTAAGTAGGAATTTATCGCTTCTGATAAAGTTTCCCTCGAAAGAAAACTCAACATCAGGAGCATTATTATCATTCTCGTAAAGCTTTAAGAAAGCTGATAGCTGGTTTATACCTCGCGTCGCTAAAGGTCCACTCCGAGACTGGAACCAAGTTTTAAAATCCTTAATAATTGTCTCTTCATTGACTGCAGGAACATCGTTTAAAGCAAAAGCGAGACCCCCAGTAGTGACTTGGTCTTGATAGTGAGATCCAACTGGTAGGTCGTGTAGTACAGTTATGTTGTGTTTCTTTAATTCAACCTTGGGTCCAATTCCTGAAAGATGTAACAGTCTCACATTGTTGATAGCTCCTCCAGTTAATATTATTTCACGTTTAGCATAAGCCAGATGTTCTTTTCCTCTTTCACTTTCGTAGATAATCCCATCAATTGCATTCTCTTGCTTGTTTATGACGATCTTGGTGACAGTGACTCCGGTAATCACCACCAAATTTTTTCTATACCTTACAGGCTTTAGGAAGGCGCTGTTAGTACTTTGTCTGGTGTGATTAAATATGGTAAACTGATTAATGACTACAGCTTCCGGGATGTTGGTGTTTATATCCAAAGTACGAAGGCCCATTTCGGAAAACGCACTGGAAAACATTTCTACGAATCGGTCGGTGTGTTTGAACCTTTGCACCCGCATTTCTCCGCCGCGAGAATGGTAGAAGGAATTCATTAGTACGTCGTAGTCGCCTTAAAAAAACAAGTTCGTTTCAACTCTTAAAGCTTCTGTGATCATCACACTTTAACTGAAGTGGAGAATGTTAGCCTTCTATTAGTTACAAAAAAAATTCTGAACATCTAATAGTGGAATTAAAATATTAGACATTATCATCATCATTATCATTACAGCCCTTCACAACTCCACTGCTGAACATAGGCCTCCCCCAAAATCGTCACACAGCACGGTCCCGACCCACTTGCATCCATAGAGTTCCTGCCGACATCCATCTAGTGGGGGTCGCTCTACACTACGCCTACCGGTACGTGGCTACCACTCGAGAACCTTTTTTTCCCCATCGGTTGTCGATCCTTCGAGCTATATGGCCAGCCCATTGCCACTTCAGCTTACTATGTCCGTCAATCTGGTTCTACTACGAATATCCTCATTTCTAAGTCTATCACGTAAATATTAGACATAAAATTATAGCATTTGTTTTTATCGTAAAAAGTAACCGTTTATAAAAAATATTCCTTAAGAGTTATATAATGAAAATGTACAATGGGAATTAAGATGTAACAAAATTGTGCGTAGTTATTTTATGATCTTAATATGTCTTACCATTGTCCTCGGAAGCCTTGAAATGTTCCAGCAAATTGTCATACTGCCACTCCAAGGATCTTAGTTGTCCAGTATTGTGCCAACCATCGTAATCAATCTTATGTCCCCGAGTGTACTTCATGTCATTGGTGACACTCGAGCCACCCAACACTTTGCCAGTCCTGACTTCACACGCACCGCCGGGTCGCGACAAACAGGAAAATCCATTACGTTCTGTTCTATAGTTCCACAGAATCGGGCGAAAGTCATTCGTAGGTACGCCTGGAATGTCATAATCTATGTTCTCCTCTTCGCCTGCTTCCAGGAGTAAGACCTGTTTTAGGGATTACGTTTTGTAAAGTATTTTCTTTACTTTTTAATTACTTATAATTATTTTTTTACATCCTCTTTAAATGAGCCGTGGTAGCTCACTAAGTAAAACAACTCGGGTTCGATATCTGCCAGCACCGATGAAATTGTTTGTTACACTTTAAGTGCTGACTTACTAGTTCATCCGCGTTGAAGAAGACAGCGTAAGAAAATGCGCATTTTTGAAGAATAACATTTTCGAGGGCATGATATAGTGTAATAAATAGATAACATATAATTCTAGGTGTTTAAAAAAAAGTTTATACTTAAATATTATTGTTATTTTTTAGCAAACTGTTTTATTTGAACTATTGAATTATGCTTCGTTTCTGCCAATTGACATCTAAATCAATTTGCTATCATTGCGCAGGTAGCGCATATGCATTTTTTATAAGTAATGTTCAAAATAAGAGGAGGTTCAACTGTATGTTTTTTTGTATGTAGATATGTTACGCGACATTTTCGTCAATTGTGAATCAATTGCAATGATTTTATTAAAATAGGTTGTAACTTCCGGTGTGATGTCTATTCTAAAGTCGGGTTTTTAAAGCACCGACTTTGGAATGTGAAGTTACTTTATTATTTTCAATTCTTTGAAGTCGGCTTTAACAAATAGATATAAAGTAACGTCTTTAATCTCTAAGAGGCAAAAAAAAATTAGATTTAGATGATAAATTGTGAAAAAAATTGATAGGGGTTCGTATGATCGTATATGATAGTAGGTTCTAGGGGTCTTTACAGTCTTCTTTCGTCGTCGTCTTTCGTAGTCGTCTTTACAGTAAGATCTGGGGGTTCTTTACAGTATAGGGGGATGAATAGGTGACTAGCCGATAGCCTACACAATCACAGACTAATATCCTATTAGTCGCCGTTTACGACATGCTATGGAAGTAATACGCACTGGTTGTACAACTGGTTATACGCACTGCTTCTACAACCAGTGCGTGTTGCCAGTGATGACCTACGGAACCGAGACGTGGTCCTTCACTGCTGGCCGTATGAGGACGCTCAAAGTCGCTCAGCGAGCTATGGAGAGGGCTATGCTCGGAGTTTCTTTGCGTGATAAACTTAGAAATGAGGATATCCGCAGTAGAACCAGAGTGACTGACAGAGTCCACCGGATTAGTAAGCTGAAGTGGCAATAGCCTGGCCATATAGCTCGAAGAACAGACAACCGTTGGGGAAAAAAGGTTCTCGAGTGGCAGTCTCGTACCGTAGTCGTAGTGTAGCGACCCCCCTTACTTTTAGATGGAGTGACGACCTGGTAAGACATGCAGGAAGTCGATGGATGCAGGTGGCTCAGGACCGTGCTTTGTGGCATTACTTGGGGGAGGCCTATGTTCAGCAGTGGACTTGTGAAGGGCTGTAATGATGATGATGATGATAAAAGTAATATAGTTGTTACACTTTTTTGGTTATTAGTCTCACATAACATAGGACATGTAAATTCCAGACCAATATGGGCCAAACTTATACCTTTTTATTATTTTTTTTTTTGTTTTGTTTATCAATGTTTAGTTTAATAATAATGAATTTTAGTTCCGTTATCAGTTTTATATATTTATTATGATTTTAAATTTTTATTGTTTTTTTTTATGTGTCACCGTGTAGTGGTGGTTTCAGGATATCCACTACCCTGGGGGTGTCATAAGAGGCGGCAGACGGAGACGGAAGCATCTTTCTGTTAACAACTGAATAATTTAAAAAAAAACTGCAGTTGCTAATCCGTCTGTCAAGCGTGTTGGGTCGCAAAATCGGTTTAGAAAAAATAAACTATTTATTTGATACACACATTTAAAACAAAGAAATATAAAAACGCAAGGGGAAAACATGCAGGCAACAGTCTTAGGCTGCTTTATTTAATGATTTCCCATAAACAAATATAAGCATACATGCATAGTTAAAATTAAGTTTACAGCCTATTTACATCCCACTGCTGGGCACAGGCCTCCTCTCATTTCTGAGAGGGTTTGAGGGCAAGTAAATGTCCACCACGCTGCACCAATGCGTGTTGACGAACTTCACATGCCTTCGATATTTTGTTTTTTTTTTCCTATTTTTCGGACACACAGATTTCCATCGTTTTCCACAAGATGTTTTCTTTCCCTACCCAACACGTGACATTAATAATGAATAATAAAATAAAAAAAAACATTACAATTTTTGATATCGCGTTATATAACACATGCAGTCGAACCTTATAAATTTATCATAAAATGACTTTACCCCCGACTTTGTGTAATCTTATACGTTTTACGAGACTGTGTTCTGAACAAATAAATGGTTATAGAATAAATTTACTGCCGTTTTACCTTCCATTCGGGCACAGCTGACAGCCTGTTGGCTAGTACGCATCCAGAAGTGCCTCCGCCGATGATAATGAAATCAAAGACACTGTTTCTTAAGTTCTTTTCATCAGCCTTACTCCGAGTTGCTTTGGAGAACAGATCACCAGTAACCGCGGTGACGAGGATGACGATAAGTGTTACTCTCGGTAAATGTGTGCCGGAGTCACTGAGACAATCATAATTTTGGTCGAGTTTTAATTAGTAAACATTAAATATGTTAAAAAATAAAAAATAATTACCTAAGATCCGCGCTATAAAATAAAACGATAAGTCCTACCTTGCTACTATCATCATCACCCTCAATCCCACTACCATTACTAAGCTTAGTTAGTTACTTCACCTGAGGATACCTCTTTTAGATGCGATATACGTGTCGTATTATCGCCGACGGTTAGGGTGGTGGTGTTACATAATACATTTAGATCGGAACACACCTACCCTGTTATCCTATTCCCAGAGGGTGGCATATTCCTAGATAAACTCCTAGGTAGAAAGGAAATCTAGTCTAGGAAATGAAAGTCAGAAAGTGCCTTCTTTGGTTCGGCTAGATTGCCCATTAACCATCTCTTATATAAGAAAGTATGAAGTAAAATACCCAGATAAATTACGAGAAGATGGATAGCAAGCATAGCATTTTTTTATAGATCAATAGTGACAAAGGAGCGCACAGTCCACCTGATGGTAAGAGACAAGGACCCAGGAAACCCCGGCCCCTGTGGCTCTACGTGTAACGTTTTTATTGATTTTCATAATGATTGTAGCGCCAAAAACTTCATAATTTGTTAAATAAAATTGTTAAAATTAGTGAAGTTTTTACATATATCGACACTTCGAGCAACTATTATAAATTTTTATATGAAGAGAGTGGATGGGCTAAGCAAGCTCATTTTAAAATATAAATACACTTTGACATGATAATCACACAGCATATTGGTAACACAAACTCATAAGACTTTGCCCATCCAAAGATCGTCCAAGACATTTAAAGAAGTTTTCATGCACTATGCCACTGTTAACAAAAGTGTTAGTAGTGTCATAGTGCATGCGATTCTAGAAGGAACACTAGGAAAGACATACCACGGACGATAAGAACTGAACGTCTCTACACAAGGCGTCATCAGGGAGAAATTGAATAATAACAACGCCTCTACGCCGGAGTTCGGTCTGGGCGGCTGGTCTCAACGGACATTACCCATCTATACAGAAAGGGATTATGGTGCCCGAGTAAATGCGCACATGACCGAAGAGAGATCACGAGCGATACCAACTTTTATACGTTCCTTCCGAGGCTCGGGAGTGAAACCCAGCCAAGTTCCTGACTCCGAACTGCTATTGAGAATTTTTTTTACAGAAAAACCCAATAACTCAATTTTTTTGTCAAACCCGGGATTAGAACCCTATTCCTCACGATCAGCACACGTGTTTATGACCACTAGACCAACGAGGTATTCATCAGGAGAAATAGCGATAGTGCGATGGCTAACCGATAAGCTTATGTACTATATTATATACACGTCATAGTGGGAGGGAGAGAGGTGTCATTAAAATTAGGTAAGTAGTCACTGAGATTTCACACAGAACCATCTATACAAATGAATAAAATTGAAGTGTCTGTTTGTAATGTCAAAATAACAGCAATATACTAAATACATATTGAGAGTATTTTCATCGTATGTAAGGAAGAAATCTAGGACCACCCTCCAAATCTTTGTCACCTATTCTATAAAAAAAAGAGTACCTATGTATGGTACTTATAACAAAATAAAAATAATAATTAAAATGTGTGTCTGTGTTCTGGCTAATTTCCGAAATGGTTGGACTAGTTTTGAAGGGTCTTTCACTGGCAGATAGCTGATGTTATAAGGAGTAACTTAGGTTACATTAAGAAAAAGAATTAGGGTTCCGCTTAAAAAACTCAAAACCCTTGATTACACGAGGGTGAAGTCGCGGGGAACTGCTAGTCTATCATGTAACGGATTTCCTCAAAGAAACGCTTCATGTTATTTACGTATCGATCAAAAAAAATCCTTCCTATGGGAGAGGTACATGGTCAGCGCCGGGCGGTCAGACGCAGAACTTAATGCAGCAGTGGCTTGTATGAAGTTTCTTAGTCTTCTATCTACGCAATTCTGATAATTGTATGGATTTTGTTCGGATAGATTTTCAACTATTCGTTAGCTCCCATAACCTCGTTATATTATTTTTATATATGTTTTAGGAAGGTGGATTACTCACTTAAAACAATACGTTTCTATTTTAATCACGCACACAAACAAATATTTCACACTCAAAGATAAATTGGAGATTGTCTAACCTCAAAAACACTTCCAGCTTCATGTCGGACAGATCACAATCGAGAAAACAAAATCAACGTTCAGTAGTCGACCGATAAATGAGTTATGCAAGTGAATCAAACAGTGCGTACGAATATGAAAAGGAAAGATTCTCCTCGCTCCATCGAATTTCACGTCCTGAGTTTCGAAGGTAACCATTATTGTGCAAGTGAGGATACCATATAGTTGTTTTTTCGTATCGACCGCTATTACATAATGCATGACGTCCGTTACAGTGTAATTAAAGTTGTTATAACAATTATATTAATATGATGCGACTGTTAGGTGCTTCCGATTTTGAACAGTTTCCGACGAGGTTATGACCTTTGTAAATTATGAAACAGAAGGTATATTTGTAAGTACAGTTGTAGAGCTATTCTGCAGATATAATATGTAACTCGAACTCGATCGACTCGAACGGGTTGGCTCGACCGTGGAAAGACCAGGCTCTTAAAGAATACCATCGTAAAACAGCAGCTTAATACTACTGTGTTTCATATGGTGAGTGTAAAGGACCGGAAGCACTTTTGTGACAATGCATCGAATCGGTTTGATTCTTAATTGAAGATAGTATAAGTAAATGTCTATGGGCCACAGTAACCACTTACCATCAGGTGGACTGCGTGCTCGTTTGTCCGCCTTGTTCAATAAAAAAGAGAAAATTTGCCTTATTCGTCACGTTTGGCAAATTCACGATCGCAGTACCGTCACCAAAACAAATGCAACAAACTAAGAGTGAAGATGCTATTAAAATTGAATCCGAGACCAGCCATAATATTCACAAAGCCATAAACCACAGGCATCGGAAGTTTCCTTATCATCATAAAGCATAAACTACTGGTCAGTTAATTTCCGGAGTAAGTTGTTATCTAACTCCTATAGGGTTAGCTCGCTGTCACAAAATACAATTTAATATTTGGAGACCTTTTGAGGGTCACTCGGACAAATAAGATTAGACACAGATAGTACATAACTTATGTGCTCGACTGGGATGAAAATAGCTTTGAATAAAATGTTTTTTTTTTTCAATGATTTATAAGATATAAGATAGGGTGACAAACGAGCATAAAGTCCACCTGATGATAAGTGACATCTACGTGTTTTATCCTCGATTACGAATCGAATTACAGATGCGTTGTCACCCGTATTGACCAAGATGGAATGCCTCGTTTCCAGAAAAAAGTGTCTCCGGTTTTCTACACTCAGCCTCACCGTACAAAACATCAGCATTAGGCTACTATTTTACGCTGGTATTCTGTGAGAGCGTGGTCCTTTCCCGGTCGAGCCGACCCATTCGTGCTACAACTATACTACTAACATAACTACAGCATGGCTCTACAATGTATATTATTTTTATGCAATTTATTGCGTTTAATTGTAATGATTTCAAGTTATACTTACTTGAAATTTTAAGATGAAAATTTACCAAGTAACATAAAATTTGTTTATTTTAAATACTTATAAATAGATAAATTCAAGTTGGTTTAGATGAAACAAGTGCATGTAACAATGACAATGACCAAAATGACAAAATTTAATGTTTAGAATGCTTTGTGTACTACGTAACGCGTACGTTTACGTAAAATTAGCTTTTCATATTGTAATATTCAGGTAAATATAGCACTTCATTTAAAATTATTATTTATATCTATTACTATAACATACACACCTGGGTACCATTATTCATTTAAATAATAATATTTTTATATTTAGCTACTATTCATATAAAATAATATTTCTTAATACGCTTAGTTTTATTTTAAACTAATGATTGTAATCAAATTATTACATCAATGGTTTTGTTTTAGTTTAGCATCATTTGTTAATATCAAAATCTTAAATAAGGCCATCTATAGTCGCAAAGTAATACTAACATTTATTGATATCTTGTATAACTTTCTTAATACTACCCAAAGATGGCGCTTGGCTACACTTAAACTAAGTGGTTTATTAGTAGTTTCCTATTTTTATTAATTAATATGGAAATTATATAAGTTATTAGGATTACAAATTAGATGAATGTTATAACTAAACATATGGAACGATTAATAAATTACAAATTGAGTACTTACTATTTTTAAACTAGGTTACCTACTTTAATTTCTTTTGCTAACTATTGCTATATGTATAATTGTAGCAGAGAAGAAATAATTAATTGCACAGAAATCACGTCGAATAGAACTAAACACGAGTGATATCCGATTGAGCCAGTAAACACAGATAAGGCATGGAAGTATTATTCCAAGCACAGGATTCAGCAGCGTCATAGAGCGGTGTCGAGCAACGCAAATCCTTCTATACAACGCGAGAAGCCGATATCCAACAGTAGACACTGTCACGAGCTGATAATGAAGAAGAAGACTGTACTTTGTCTCATATTTTAAATACTTCATGACATCGGTCCGAGAGATCATTTTGGCTTTAACGGGAGTGACCTATGTTTGATAGTAGTGGTCTTTTACGGCGTCTTACATGAAGATAAAAAATCAAATAAGTATACACTTTGACAACATAATATTAGGTAGGTAAAACTTCGTCAACATATTGATAACATTTCCGCGAAGGTTACAGACATAGTTGAACCCGGTAGGTGGTGTTGTTGTAGAAGCCAGATATCACCCGTGCGAAGCCGGGGCAGATCGCTGGTACTTATTAAAAATTTTCAGGATAATAATTGATCTTTCATTTTCGACACGTGTCTTGAATACATTCGTAATAATGTTAATGTCACAAATGTGTTTTGTGACGCAGAACATTTTAATAGGTAGGGTGACTAAGTTATTTTTAAAATCCGAGGACACTGCGAGAAAGTCAAAGAAAATGAACATAATAGGTATAAGTAAAGAACCAAAATAATTGAGACATTTAATCTCTTAGTGACGCAAGTATCACATAATAAAAAGCTATAATAAGAAACTATTCCGAATAACTTGAACTGCGTGGTAGCGAGCATAATATATT